AGATTCTTCCTCTTCCCAATGGGAAAAGCACCCAACACTGAAAAAAACACCCCATCATAGGTTAGCTAGGTTACAGTTTCAAATACTTAAAAATGGCCAATGTTTTAAAAAAAAAGTTTAAAAGATTTTGTAACTTTTTCTCACAATTTGAGGTTGGAACAGGAAGGGAAGAGACCCCATTGAGAAGTTTAGAGGAAAGGATTCCATGCTTCCAAACCTTTGTTTGAATTCTATTATAACAAATCAAAAACATCACTGAGATAATATAAAAGCCAGCTATACCTTGGTCATCTGAAGATTGCTGAGCTGTTGCTGCCACAAAAGGATCGTTTCTAGCCGGCAAATCCAAATATTGATGTTTCCTACCAGCACTGACTTCCCTACGCCTCTTATTAAGGTGCAAAGTGTAGAACTCAGGTCTTGAAGGAGGTCTTTGATGAGACGTGGGTTGTACTGGTCTTCTAGAACTAGACGGGGAAAATTTAAAAACACAGAAATATTCCAGATTAAGTCTAATTTTTTTTAAAGCCTAGGTTAAAATCGATACTCAATTCTATAAGATAAAAGCGACACTGCCATTTTCAGTACATCCGTGCTCTTTCCTAAAATCCTATTATATAAAGATATACTCTGAACAAGACATAATTTACATATTTTTCTATGACTGCCGATAATAATGCACATGTATTAAAGATTTGTAGAAGCTGGTGTCCAAAACCTCAAAAAGACTAAGTATCTGAATGAGATAGGGGAGCAGAATATACAAACTAAGAAAACACCTTAGGATATCATGGTGACATTGGACTTAGGAAAATAGAGGCAACATCCTGCCTGCCCAGACCTCGATCAAGCAAGAGCGAAGATGGTGGCACTCATTTTGCAGTAATTGCATATATCTCAGTGGGTGCCTGACCTGTACAGCCATCTATGCAATTAGGGCTGGGAGCCTGCTGCTCATAATTTAGGTATTTGAGTCAAACATGGGAGAATCAGCTCTCCTGTCCTGTCACTTTTCAGTAAATCAGGCTTAAAGTTGCTTCACAAAGCTATGCAGGTGTACCTCAGTCCATTAAGTTTCTGACATACAAGCCAAGTTTTGCAAATTATCTTGCCTCACCAGCTAGCCCGCAGCATGTTAAAAAAAAAGTCTAGATCTACAAGTGTGACAACCAAAATGGAAATCATAAAAAAGGAAGCTTATAAAAGAAATTGCATTCCTGGATGCATTTCTGGAAGAAAATTATGCAATCATGCAAATTCTTTTGCTGGCTGGTTTATACCACAAGGGCTCCTACATGGTGTGATGGATCTGGACCAAAGCCTTAAAAAATCCACCCCTTTTGAGTCCAAAGCAGAGAGAAAGGAAAAGAACAAAAATATTATTGTCTGCAGATAGGTGAAGTGGCCCTGTCATGTGACTGGGAAATAAAGAGTGAAACAGATTGGTTGTTGCTAGGTGGCATGTTTATGTGGGGAAAAAAGGAGGGGATGAAGGGAGGGACGAAAGAAGAAGGGAAAGAAAGGAAGGGAGGGAAGGAAATGAAAAGGTAGAGAAGGAAGAACAACAAAGAAGTGAAGAGGAAAGAAGGAAAAAAAGAAAAAAATGGGATGGAAGGAAGGGGAAAAGGAAGGAAGAAGTATATGATACTACTACTACTACTAATATTAACAACAACAACAACAACAACAACAATTTATTTATTTATAACCCGTCCTCTCTTTCCAAAGAGACTCAAGGCAAAAGCAAGGGTGATAGAAAGCAAGGGAAGAATGGAAGTAAAGAAGAACAAAGAAGGAGAAGTTGTATGAGGGAAATAGAAGAAGAAACAAAAGAATCACAAATAGAATAGAATAATTTTATTGTCATTGTACTAAAATGACATTCGCACCACCACTGCACAGCCCCACAAGAAAGAATCGCAAACATACTATTGTCAGAGTATTGCCATGGAATTAGGCTTTCTCACCGCCAGAGAAATGAGAAAGCAGGTGGGCAACAGCCAGCCACTCCAACATTGGGTATATACGCTACTATAGTATAAAATTATTTTCAGACTATCTGTACAACTTATATATGAAACATAAATGAATTGCATGTTTATACTTGAGTACCATATCCAAAATAGCTTATTATGGAAATACATGCAAATACAAGTATTCTAAAATCAGAAATCCAAAACACTTCTGGCCCCAAACATTTTGTATTTAACCTGTATCAATTTTTCCATAAAAGAAGTAGTTTCCAGAATCTCAGGCTTAAAGTTGCTTCACAAAGCTATGCAGGTGTACCTCAGTCCATTAAGTTTCTGACATACAAGCCAAGTTTTGCAAATTATCTTGCCTCGCCAGCTAGTCTGCAGCATGTTTTAAAAAGTCTAGATCTATAAGTGTGACAACCAAAATGGAAATCATAAAAAGGAAGCTTATAAAAGAAATTGCATTCCATGCACAATCATGTAGTAGTTAATGGCAAGCTTTGGGTCCAAATTTATAGATTTTGATTTCACCCATGGGTCAGTCAAGAGCCATTCTGAACAGAAGAAAGCACCAATGCCACTGCTACACAGTCATTTTCCCACTCAGAAATTCAATCAAGTCCATGAGTAAGGAGGTTGTTCTAGGACTGACTAAGCACTTACCTCTCACTACTCTGTTCAGAGAAGAAGATGGTTCATTTTTTATAACAGTCAAAGTACTCAAACTACAACTCCCATGATCCCACAGTATTCGGCTATGCCAGTTCAAGTGATGTCCATCTGCATTAATTCTATAGTGTAGATGCACCCTGAGTGTGTCCATGCAGCTTACTATCATTTAATTAAATTCAAAGCAGAGTGAATATCTGCATTTATCTTAATCTGACAACAAGAATGTATGGCCTTTGCCAACAACTGCTTTGAGAGGCCTACAGTAAGAGAACATAAACTGTGCTTCTAGGGTTTCTTGTTTTACCAGCTCCTACACAACATGACTGATGGCCACCCTGGCTTGGCGTTGAAGCTCCAAAAGGTTTTCCACTTTTTTGGTTGCTTCCTTTCTAGTAAAATTGCAAGGTAACGCAAGGTGTCAACTACATATTTGTATTCTTGAAATACCTGATTACTCAGGTGACCAGCATACCAAGCACATGAAAGGTTAGACCTTCTCAGCCCAGTAAATAACTCCACAGGTTACTGGCTTGCTAGAAGGCTGATAGAAGAGAGGCCACAAGCCCCAAGTTCCACCCTGTAGTCTTATGCTTGCCTGTGTTGAGCTGCAGAGGAAAAATGTATGTGGGTGTGTGTTTCACTTCTACTGCTAGCTTGCTCATTCACCATAGAGAATCCCTGACTGCCCACAGATTAAATACAAGAAGCTTTTCTGTATGTAAAACCTAAACCAGCAAAACCCTACCCTAAACCCCCTTTACTTCCAAGCATTTAGGCAGATTAGGATAGCTGCAACCTTACCTTTTTGAACGATTTTGTCCAAGATGTTGAAATAGTTCTTTTGAGCTGCACCGCTCAAAGACGTCAACTGGGATTTGGCTATTAACTGCAAAAGCTAAAAGAAATCAGTCTGTATTAGAAAATATGGAAGCCCAGATTGAACATTTAGTCATATCATAAAAACCACAACAACAACAACAACAACAACACAAGATGCAGAATCCCCCAACTAGCATGGCAATGTTCTAAGATCTGGCGGAAACAGCAGCACTGTTAGGATGGTAAGCTTGCTGTCATTTTTGGAGCTCTACTAAATGCCTGGGCTACCCGTTGATGCAGCGGGTTAAACCACTGAGCTGCTGAACTTGCTGACCAAAAGGTTGGTGGTTCAAATCCAGGGAGAGGGGTGAGCTCCCGCTGTTAAGACCCAGCTTCTGCCAACCTAGCAGTTTGAAAACATGCAAATGTGAGTAGATCAATAGGTACCACCGTGGTGGGAAGGTAATGGTGCTCCATGCAGTCATGCCAGCCACATGACCTTGGAGGTGTCTATGGACAACACCGACTCTTCGGCTTAGCAATGGAGATGAGCACCACACCCAGTGTCGAACACGACTAGACTTAATGTCAGGGGAAAACCTTTACCTCTACTTTACTAAATGCCCAACCTTGCCAATTGTCATTGTGGTGCAATGTGCTGTTTGCTGTCAAGCTGACTTTGGGTGCACCCACATCAAAGAATTAATGCAGTTTGATATCACTATAAGTGCCATGACTTAATGCTATATAGAATTTAGTCGCAGTTTCACGAGGCACCAGTAGTACTCTTTGGCAGAGGAGGCTCAAGACGTGGTAAAATGAGAACTCCTATGATTTCACAACATTAAGCCCTGGCAGTTGAAGTGGTGCATTAACTCTACAGTGCAGATAAACCTTTTGACCTACAATGATTCTGCGAATAAAACATCTCTAAAACCTCCCATCATCAACTGCCCCACTCTGGTCTTGCAAACTCAGGACCTTGACTGAATCAATCCAGCTATAGTGTTCCCCGCTTTTCCTGCTGCATTCCACCTTGCCCAGAATTACCATTTCTCCTCCAGTCAGTAATTTCATCTCACGGTATTCTCAAACTACTGCCTCAGTTTAGACATCTTCTCTTCTAATGAGAGTTCAGGATTGATGTACCATATATACTTGAATATAAGATGACCCAAATATAAGCCGAGGTACCTAATTTTACTACAAAAAACTGGGAAAACGTATTGACTCAAATATAAGCCAAGGGTGGGAAATGCAGCAGCTACTGGTAAATTTCAAAATAAAATTAGATACCTATAAAATTACATCAATTGAGGCATCAGTAGCTTAAATCAATATTTTGAATATTTACATAAAACTGTAATTATTTTTATTACATTTATTATTTTATGATTATAGAATTATTATAATGGAAATGCAGTAATAACAGTAACAACAAAATAAAATAATAAAAGTAATAACAATAAATAGAGTAAAATAATAAATGTAATAATAATAACATAGTTAAATCATAAATGTAATAATAATAATAATAATAATAATAATAATAATAACTCAGTAAAATAATAAATAACTTTGACTCGGGGGGGGGGTTCACCCTAAAAAAGGGCTGAAAAACTTGGCTTATATTCAAGTATGTATGGTTCTCTTGGAATTCTTCTCCAGGACTACATTTCACATCCCATACCTAACCTTGAAGCCAAGCAGGCATAGCCTGGTTAATACTTGGATGGGAGACTGCCAAGTAATACCAGGTGCTGTAGGGTATCTTTCAAAGGAGGGAATTGGGCAAAATTGCCTGAATATTTCTTACCTAAAAAAACTATGAAATTCACAGTAGGGGGTCGCCATTCGTTAGCAGCAATGTGAGGTTCATAAACACATACAATGTTATTATTTAATTTTAAACTATTACTACTATTCTACTATGTTTGGCAAATACACAAAAAGCAGCTAAATAGCAACACTAGAGAAGCAGATGGGCAAGTGAATGACACTCCTGAAGTTGCCAAAAATTGAATTCTTAAAAGGGATAAGCACAGACTATGTTCAAATCTCCGATATCTCACTAATCCATGTAAAATTCCCTTTTCAGTATCACAGCAGGAGTCCAAGTAACTTATTTGTATCCATTGTCAGCACTTGCTGTTAACATCAAAAGCTCTCCTATGAATTACACACAGTTCTCTTTCAAACTGAATTCTGCTTCAAAACAAAAGATACTTATATATATTTTAAAATGATTGGTATATAAAAGGAAGAAGCAATTGCTTCCTAGCTACTGCTACACGGACTGGAAATTAAATCCTCCACAAATATTCTCTCAAAAACATTTTAGAGCTCTTTTCTACACTTTTGCATCGCCCCTGTGATGGAGAGAAAAATATGTCTTGTTCACCTACCTACATTTTTGAGACACTTCAAACACCGTTCAGCTACAATGAAACACAGTTGCATCCCACTTTTTTCCATTAGGGAACAATCAAGAATATCAAAGGAAAGGAGCGGGAATAGTGGGCGAAAGGCACACTCAACATATTTATCATTGCATGTTTAAAATAATGGCATTTCGACAATTAAACTTCAAATGCATTTCTCTGAATTGCTGTGCAATCCTACACGTCTAGTCAAACTTTATTCAATGCAACTGAACAAGCTGTGTTTATTTATTATTTATTATTTATTTATTTCTTGCACTTATTAACCGCCACTCTCAGCCCTAGGGCGACTCGTGGCGGTGTACAACAACATAAAAAAGACGGTTTACAATAGACCAAGACAGTAACAACATTCTACTACTACATAACAACTACTTATACTAAAAATCCGCTTCGTCGTATCATGGGGTCATAATCAATCTCATAGTCATAGTCCATTCCGGTCGTCATTTCCAATAACATAGCACTCAGTTGAAGGCCATCTCGAAGAGCCATGTTTTCAGGCCCTTACGAAAGGAGCTTAGCCCCATTACAGAAAAGCTGTGTTAGAAGGTCTGCACCATTCAGGCTGTGTTTTTGTGGATTGAGCTGCAAAATGTTAAGAGGGCTACTAATCCCTGGTTTGGTACCAACCCAAGCTCCAATGTGAACTGAAACGCGGGGGTGGGGGGCATCTACATTGTAGAATTGATGCAGTTTGACACCGCATTAACTGCCATGGCTCAGTTGAATGGAATCATGGGAAGATTTTTAGGCTTCTCTGGCAGAGTTTTGGTGTCTCACTAAATTACAAATTCCAGTTTTCCATGGTATTGAGACACGGCAGTTTAAATGTTTCCAAACTGCATTGACCAGTCGGTGTATTCAAAGAATCAAACTATAGGATTGCTTTTTCAACAGCTTATTCCAAGGCCAATCTAAACTTGGGTTGTTGTTGTTTATTTGTTCAGTTGCTTCCGACTCTTCATGAACTCATGGATCAGCCCACGCCAGACATCCCTGTCGGCTGAGGCCACCCCTAGTTCCTTCAGTCAAGCCAGTCACTTCAAGGATACCATCCACCCATCTTGCCCTTGGTCTGCCCTTCTTCCTTTTTCCTGCTATTTTCCCCAGCATCATTGTCAACATTGTCTAAATTTGGGAGGTGCCCATAGTATAAAGAATACTCCCAAAAGTACTTGAGATGAAGGGAAAAAACAGTACAAGATGACTGAATGACATCCGGGGAATAAGTTACAATAGTATTTAGCTTAGAGAAGCAAGCTGGGAGTATGAGAGGTTTGTATGATATTTGCAGAAAGTTAATGAAACTAGGAATATATAAGTAACCATTAATACAATTTACATTTTGAAAGCATAAGCAGACACTCCTCTCAAAATCAGTAGCACTGTATAAACATTAGGCCTTTATTTTATCAATGACATTATGAACTATGTTCTATACTTGACTGAGAATTGACCCCATTCTTAATTTCTGATTTTTATGTGAATATGGTTAAAGCTCTGAGTTGCTGAACTTGTTGACTACATATTATATATTTTATGAGAAACAATATGATTCATAATATAGATTCGAACGTGTCATCTTTTGTGCCATTTCCATTTTAACATATATATCTTGTTTTACTCACTGGAAGAATTCAAGCCAATTAACCAACCAGGAATGACCACATTATAAAAGGACAAAAATGGTATTTGTTCCTAGGAATATTAGGAAAGCACAGCACTGAAACAGACCAATAGCAGCTTCTAAGAATAGCAGTCAAAACTAAGGAAACTAGGGATTTTCACTTTTACCTTGACGCATATTCTATTGTTATGTAAAGTGATGAACTTTGATATTGTTATAATATATGAGACAGCAGCACTAGAGGAAAAATAACAATATAGACATTAGCAGGCTCACTGAAAGGCATTCAAAACCCAGTGAACTGGCAAGAGGGGAATCTCATCTCAAGTGACAATTGCCCTACGAAACTGAGAAGCCAACTCTCGGGTTACTGTTGGAGAAAGATTTCCTGACTGCTTAAGCTCTGTTACCATATAACTCTCCCTTCGTGTTTAATCTGACAAATGGAGGCAATTGCTTTCTCCCAGTCTCAGATAAGCTCTCCCCCGAAGGTCACCAGCATGCAATGAGCTGATTATTTTTACAGTTCAGTGAAATTCAAACATGGAGCGAACACACAAATATCTTACTTTAACCACGTAATTGAATCTTCTGATGTCCTGAATTGCGCTTGAAAAATCTAAGCGATTAAAGGCTTCTCCCAAAGTGCAATAGCCGTGCCTCTGGAAGAGAAAAACAGAAATTGATATTAACGGCCCTTTCAAAAAAGAAAGCTTCTTGAAGGGATGCATACAAGAGCCTTAAGTGTCCTGCCCATACAATGGTCCACCTACAGCCTTCCCTGTGATATAGTCATTGAGCTTCCTGTCTGTACCATAGCCTTCAGAGATGAGAGAGAGCAGAGAAAGAAGACAAATGAAGCTGTATCCGAAAACACAGAAACAGCCTTGGTTCTTTGTGCTCCTTCACTCACCAATGGCCCATTCTCCCATATTTAGCAACATGTCCTTGATCTACCTATATACAGGAAGGCATGTATGCACTTCGGCATAAACAAATAGGAATATAGAGTGTATGAATAAAAGAAAAAAATCCCAGATGACTGATGGTTGATACTGAAGCCTTGAAATCTAAATTGTTCCTTCTTGTCCATATGAATGAAAGAATGGCAAGAAATCAGCTCATTCAATTCCCACTCCTGAAGACGAGTTAGTCAGTCTCCCATTGGGTAACATGCATGTTTAATTAATTCATTAATTTATTAATCTTATAATAAAATAGATTTCTCTAGGCACAGTGCAATACATGCAACAAAATCCAATAAAAGCATCATGAAAACTAATTCAGATCACAGCGGAGTATAATCTAGTAAGGACACAAACATTAAAATCATCATCAGGTATTTGAATTAAAAATCACACCGCAGGGAGTCAGATATTTAATTAAAGTTATTAATTAAACAGATGAGGACTACTGAAATATGTTCGAGTTACACTTACTTCTTTGGTACTTTCTTTATGGACATATATCCATTTCTCCCCATAGAAATCTGAAAAATAAAACACAAAACTAATTCCAGTGTTCTACTCTACAACAGAGCGCCCAGTGGTGCAGCGGGTTAAGCCATTGAGCTGCTGAACTTGCTGACCAAAAGGTTAGTGGTTCAAATCTGGGGAGTAGGGTGAGCTCCCACTGTTAGCCCCAGCTTCTGCCACCCTAGCAGTTCAAAAACATGCAAATGTGAGTAGATCAATAGGTACCGCTTCTGTGGAAAGGTTAACAGTGATCCATGCAGTCATGGCATCCACATGATCTAGGAGGTGTCTACGGACGACACTGGTTCTTTGGCTTAGAAATGGAGGTAAGCACCACCCTTCAAGAATCGGACATGACTAAACTTAATGTCAAGGGGAAACCGTTACCTTTACTTTACTCTAAAATGATCACAGTTATAAGAGAGGATAACAAAGATTTTGTTTGAAGAACTGGAATAAAGTAATTATTATTTACAGGCAGGACTTTCACAGACATTATTTCTCTAGCTGAAGACTGAAAAAGACTTTAATACCTCTGTCCAGCACTGGATGTCTGCAAGCACAAAAGCTGAATCCTAAGTAAGGAGGGCTTGTCTTCTTCCCTTTACATCAACTTGAGTACATTATGAATCTGCGCCTATGGAGTGTGAATCTCACTGTAGCCAGTTTTGGGATATCTTTCACACAGTTGGGTGGTTGGGGAGAGAGGCAGAGGTTATCTGATGGATATGTTGAACATAGAGCCAAGAAAACATTTGCTTGCATAAAATGTTAGGAGGGGAGACTTCTTTTAAAAGTATCCAAATTATACCATTCTGATCTGGCTGAGGTGCTCCACATGTGATGGTTTTTTTAAATTGTGTCAGAAGCGATTTGAGAAACTGCAAGTTGCTTCTGGCGTGAGAGAATTGGCCATCTGCAGAGATTTTGCCCAGGGGATGCCTGCGGGAGGTTTCTCTTATGTCACTGCATGGGAAGCTGCAGCTGACAGACAGGAGCTCACCCTGTCTTGCGGATTCAAACTGCCGACCTTCAGGTCAGCTGTTCAGCCGGCACAAGGGCTTAGCTCACTGCAGAGACTCCTTTCAAAAACACCCAAATTATACCATTCTGATCCGGCTGGAGTGCTCCACATGTGAGGGCTACGTGCACTCCTGAACTGGATGGGGAAAGATGCCTAAATATTCTGTGCTTGAGCTCTCCCTTCCTACCGTAGGCTCAGCACAATTGACAAGTTGATTTACATTCTGAGCAGACACTGCTGTGTGTATGAACCCCTGGAATAATATTGAAAGCCATTCCGTGATGCAAATGATTATGCTGCAAGTGAGCTGAAGTCTAATTGATTTCAGAGGAATCTCACTTTCAAGAAAGTATAAACTTTGGGTATTATTTAGAAGTGCTTGAAATGGTTTTTATTTTTAATCTGCCTCACAAACCTACAGTCTACATACCCATAAACAAGTTATTTTATTGAAGAAAGCCATAGGTTTAAAAAATACCCTCCGTATGAGTATGGTAAGAACACATGCCTTAAATAAAAGCACATCATTTTCCTTCGAGTTTCCCCTTGTTGAATTTTGCCTAAAATACTGTATGACCACCAGATCTCCAAGAAGGGTTCCTGCGGTTTCACTGTCTGGCAAAATGCCATTTTCTAGGTCCTCCAGAACAACTCTATGATTGGCCAGAAATCCTTTGCTTCAACAAGGTTTACTATTTTCTGTGGTTTTGTTTTTGCTTACCCCTCATGAAACCTGGGACGATATGTCCCATAGATACGGGCATCATACTGTAGGCATCATACTGTACATCCCTCTTTTTCTCTCTATGTATTTGTAATGATATATGAGGATGGGTCAAAAAGTTTTGCTTCCTGTGTCATAAAAACGTTATGAATGAACATATAACAGAAGTTACTACAGATCATAACCTGAACTATCCTCTACACAAAACTACCATTCAACATAGTCACTATCAATTTGTAGACATTTACACCATCATTTAACCAGGCATCAAAACCATTTTGGGAAAATTCAGGGTTTTGCTTTGTGACCCATGATTTTAAAGCTGTTTTAAAGTCATTTAAGTCATCGAATCTGAACCAACATAGGTTGTATTTTTGGATCTCTGAAAGACAACTCATGTAGTTTCAGATTCAATGACTTGTATAATAGCAGAATCTCCACATATTTTACACTTCTCATATATACAAAGTGTCATGTTTACATTATGTTTTTTTCATAGATTCTATTGAAGCACAAGCTTATATTTACACTGAATATTTTTTTTCTTCTTTTTCTTTCTAGACCTGAAAGTAAACATAAAAATTAGAGCTTACATTGAGATTTTGCATTATTTCTGAAATGATCCTTTTTCCTCTTCTTGCTTGTAAATTCGCAGTCAGCATTGTATATTTCTTCATCATTATCCAAGATGCTGGAAGAAGAACACACATACACATTTCAGCAAATGAACTATTTCCTAAAATGCATTTCATATACTATACAAATCCTTGAATACTGAAAGATTCAAAGGAGCAGGCAAGCACATTAAGGTCATTAGCTAGTGTTAGTTATTTGCAATCCTCAAGGAAGAAAAGCATCCTCTCCCTGGAGGTTTTTAAGCAGAGGCTGGACGACCATCTTTTGGAAGTGGTTTGATTGTGTGCTCCTGCATGATGGCCCTTGGGGTCTCTTCCAACGCTATGACTCCATACAAGCTTTCATTCTTTGTTTGTAAACACAAGGATTACTTACACATGTAACATCCCAGAGTGAATCTAGCCATGTTGGCTTCAGTAGATCAGGTTGATCAAGCTGGACCAGAACTAGATGAGATAGGGCATCTCCCAGAATGATCTTCCTAACTTGCCCCATGAGATGTGGGGTTCTGAGAATGACCATTCCCCTAAATAAAATTTTCCAAGAGAAGAGCTGAAGCATGTCTAAATCAACCATGAAAAGCGATAGACCAGGGATGGGACAAATGGAAGCCCGTAAGCTGCATGCATCCCAAACAGCTGTTTTGTGGTCCCCAGAGCCTCCTTGATGTTAAACCTTTTGTCCCCAAATGCCCTCCTGGGGCCATTTTACTACATTCCTCCCCCCTCCCCCCATTAACTAAACTGAGATTAGAGGGGGTATTTTTTTGAATGAGAAGAAGTGACTCCGGTTCAGCTCCTTCAGAAACTTCTCTGGGCCCTAAGAATGTTAAAAGCATGGCAAAAATTACTACTGTACCTTCAGAGGCATTTTGATGCTGAATATTTTTAGTCTTTTCCAGATTTTTTTAATCCTGTCAGAAACTGCAAGTCGCTTCTGGTGTCAGAAAATTGGTTAAGAGGAGATGTTGCCCAGGGGACGCCCGGATGTCTTACCATCCCATGGGAGGCTTCTCTCATGTGTCTGCATGAAAAGCTGGAACTGACAAACAGGAGCTCACCCTATCTCGTGGGTTCGTACCGTCAACTTTCAGGTCAATAGTTCAGCCGGCACAAGGATTTAACCCATTGCACCACCGTGGCTCCTGTCTTTTCCAGCGGATATGGTGGATTGTGGGATTCTCCAAGAATTAATGTGGTCCAGACTTACACAATTGCCCACCATGTGCCAGAGCATATGACAGCTGACAGAGGTATATATTTAAGTGTCGGAGAAAACTGAAAACCCAAAACTAAAAAAATCATCGCCCTTTTTTTCTTCCATTCTTCATTGCTCCCATTGGCAAGTCTTCCATTAAGTTCTCATGAAGCCATAACATACATCATGATTTCTGGAGTGCTGCACCTGACTTCCAAATAAATACATACAAGACTACAGTTGTCAATTTCCTTGAATACATTTCAAAACAAGTAGGCAATAAATGTGTGCGTATGAAATGTATCTTTAAAAGTGGTGCCATTAATGAAAGTACCAATACAATTCTATTTACAACTCACATATATGAAACAGAGCATGCAATGTGAATACTAAATGTTGAAATAATTCATTCTGAAAATATGTACCAATGTTAAGACTGATCTGATGGAAGGAATGCTTTTGTATTTAAAACTTACATCCATATCCTATTTTTCTGCTAGAAATGGCTCTGAAGGCAATTAAACAGCAAAATTCAAATAAAAAAGAACACAGCAAAAGCATAAACAACAAATAGACAACACTGCTTTTAAAATTCCCATTCAGTCCCAAACCTGTGTCTACTCTTCGCAGTCTCCAAAAATAGATCTGGCTGGCAAAGATATACACAGTTATTTGTGGGGAAAGCAACTGAGTAGATTAATTGTAATTATGTTCAGTCTTTTTGGAAAGAATATGGTCATCTAATAATACTGTGTACTAATTAATGGCTTGCTGTAATATTTTATGACACCATTTTACTATTATTCCAGGCTGTTTAAGAGCAGAGCTAAAGCAGTTTGGTGTAAAAAGTTCAAAAAAAATTCCTCAGTTTAAACATTGAATTCACACACAAAATATTTCAAGGAACAGTAGTGATTTAAAGACAAAGTATTCATCTTCCCAGAACTCTGATTAGCTAAGATGTTCTCCTTCACACAAAGCAGTCCGCCTTAAACAGATGCTGAAGCTTTACAACACAGCATGTACAATAAAAGACAGTAAACATCTTCCCACCTTCATTCCCTGACAGGAAAATTGTATACAAGCGTTTTCTATGCTTGCCAGTGTTCACTTTTAATAAACAGCTGACTCTGTCAAACGAAAGTATTTATCACTGTCAATGTATGTTTACAAAACATCCACAATATAGCCCAGATGCTGTAAATCACTAAGACGAGAAAAAGGAAGAGCTGGAGAATATGTAGGTATCCATATATTTAAGATTAAAACTGCACTTATTTAAAAAGTTGTCACACCATCAGTTTAATGCTGGATTTCAAACAATTAATTATAGGAATTTGATCTTACTGAAAGACTTTCAAATTGTCAAAAAAGGGACTTGTCCTTTTTTTACTATCAACATCCAGGTGCAAGAAGCAGAAAGCTGGGTCTATGTGTAAGACTTACTGTCTAGCACCTACAGCTGGAGATTTCTTAACTTGCACAAAACATGATGAACTTTATTTCACATGACCTTTCGTACACACCAATGAAAGTCTGGCAAATTTCCAATGAAAATAACAAATGTTAATAGCCAGAAGGAATTGAAAGCTTGTATATTCAACATATTCTTAAATTATAAATTAACACAATGCCTGACTTGGATAGAAAAGGATCAACTTCTAGAGCAGGTATGGGCAAACTCAGGCCCGGGGCCCGGATGTGACCCCTTGGACTCTTTTCTCAGGCCCTCCTCTCTCTTACCATTCTTTCCTTCCTTCTCTTTTACTTTCCTTCCTCCTTCCCTCCCTCACCTCCCTATTTCTGCTTCCTTCCCTTCCACCCTTTCATCCTTCCTTCCCTCTCTTCTTCTCTCCTCCCTCCCTCTCTCCCCTTTTGTCTTCCCTTCCTTCTCTATGGAGCCTTTTCTGCAGAGGCTGTCTATTGGGAGTGCTTTGCTTATGCCTTCTTGCATGGCAGGGGGTTGGACTGGATGTTCCTTGGTGGTCTGTTCCAGCTCTAGGATTCTATATTAGGTGTAGGCAACAACCCAGTGATTCTGGCCATGAAAGCCTTTGACAACACAAAAGTTATCTGCTACTATATACCCACCTACACTACAAGAAAAAAATGGACCACTGCCAATGATGTACCATCTTCTTAGCAACTAAATAGCCATTTGTTACTCAGAGAAAAAGTACCTGATACTGCAGAGGCACAACTCTATGGACTCAGTTTTGAGAACTGAATGAATCAGCTGGGCTATGCCATCTATGTTTCCCTTTTTTAACCTATGAAACCTCTTGCAACACTGGATAGAAAATTGCCTAACAGAGTTGTCAGACAGCTGTTTCTGGTTTAGGCAGCATTCCTCTCATTTGGGGAGGGCTGTCTTTTCAAAACAGAACTTACTGTGTCTTACAGAAACTAAGTAGCATGGTTGCTATGAGGCCTTGGATTGATACTTCCATTAGACTCAGACAAGCTCACAAAAATGGACCATCCTCAACACATGCCACCTTTGCAGCAGCAAATCTGTAACTATGTGCCTCCATCTGTCAACTTCTTAGCCTAATTCGGGCAGAACTTCTTTTAAAAAAACCCAAACTATTCACTTTGTACAAACATAGATACTTGCGGCATAGGCTCAGCATTGAATATCTATGCTAATCCTGTTGGATCTTTTTGTAGGCTCTGACACTTTGGTCCATCGGATCCAACTACAGGCAATCCCCAAGTTATGAACAAGATAGGTTCCATAGATTTGTTCTTATGGTGAATTTCTATGTAAGTTGGAACAACTACATTTTTAAAGTGTAACTCCAGCCATACACACACACACACACACAGAGAGAGAGCTCTGGATAGCATAAGGAAGGGTTAACACTCCTGTGTTGTTTGTTTTGCTGTCTGTGCCCTGTTCTGAAGATTTCCCCTCACTTTCTGTCCCTGTGATAATTTGGCTTGGATTGGTGATAAATTTTCATTGGAGACAATTTCCTCCCCATCACAACTCTTTTAAGAGTGAATTTCCCTTCCAAGGGGTAGATTTCTCTCACTTCATACCACCTCATCCCCATTCTTACCGATGAGTTCTTTGTAGGTTGGATGTATGTAACTTGGGGACTGCCTGTATCATGATTAACATCACTAGGAATGCTTTGCCCTGATTGTTACATTTGATCACCCCTCTTCCGTTTCATTTTAAGGATCTATGTCAAAACTTTTCCTGAAGGGTGTGACAAGGATCAGTGTTAGGTCCTCTTCTTTTTTCATTGTATACCTTCCCTCTTTGATTTCTCATTTCAGAATTGGATTTTCAGTATCACATTCAGGTAGATAACATTCAGATTTTCCAATTTTGTATCAACCAATGCCTCTGTTGTGTCTATTAAAAGCCCCATAATTTCAGTGCATCTTATTGCAAAGTAAATATGTACAGGTTGGCAATTTCCCCCACCCCCACTAATATTTTGATTGGTAGCATCCCTCTAAACTAATGTTCCCCAACATTTTTTTGGCCATGCTCCACCTAAGCATCTCTAAAATCCTATCCCCCCACCCCAGTGACATATAATTTTTATTATTCAAAAAGTGAACTCCACATGGAGGAAGTCTAAAAGGCCATTAACTCTATCTAAACAGAAGTTGGATGGCCATCTGTCAGGGGTGCTTTGAATGTGATTTTCCCGCTTCGTGGCAGGGGGTTGGACTGGATGGCCCACGAGGTTTCTTCCAACTCTATGATTCTACGATTCTAACAGGGGAGTTTGGGATGAAAGTGGTCTCCCTCTTCTGAGCTCATGTAGTTATCTATACTCTCATCACTCCTTCCTCTCTATTAGCGGATTTCCTTGTTACCAGCTGGTCGCAAAGTAC